CGGTCAACCAGGAGCCGTGATAGCTCAGTGTCTGAGCGCTCGCCTTTAATTCAATATACTCGAGCAATCCGAGTTCAATCCCCGGTGTCGACACCAATGAAATTGTTAATTTTTAGTGCCGAATTATCTCGTGCTCAGCGGTGTAGGAAAACATCATGACGAAACCTGCATATTTTCGAAATAATAACAAAAAAAAATTTCGAAGATATGTGAAGTCCGCCAATCCGCAGTGGGGCCGCGTGACGGACTATGCCCTAATACCCTCTGTACAGAGGAGGCCTCTGCCCATTAATGGGACATGTATAGGTTGATACTTCACTACTACTACTCTACTTCACTTTTATACGGTCAACCAATGCCTTGGAAAGAAAAGGTCAATTTTACTTTACACAACGTGGAGGACCATACCAAGCTGGTGGGTTCTGGCTAATCTACGAGTATTTTGTATAACTGGTGTTGTTACGCTTTCAGTCCTTACACTATTAAAGCTTCATCGAACGCAGAACCGGTGGGCTATCCAGAACCCACGTGTTAGAGGCCCTCCTCAGTGGGTAGGGCCGCGCATGTGTGCGTTAGCTAAAGAGTGTCGCCTACGAGCTATATAGGTTCGGTGCGGATCATGACCCCTATGGGCGTTTACTGTGCTTGGTTAGTCGGTGGCTGGGGGCTGTGAGCACCGCCCTAGAACGCGGTCCTACAAGTTCTGCGTTCGATGTAGCTTTATGAAGTCATCCGTAGTGTATTAACAGATTGAAAGCAAAAACATCACAAAATAAAAGTAAATGAACTACCGAAGTAAAAATTGACAAATACGTTAGTTTTTGTCTTAAATAAAATATTGAATTTTGCTCAATCACCAACTGCTTTATTCTATATTAACTAATTCTAAACTGGAACCAAGCATCATGGTTCAATTTATAAGGGCTACTTAAAAATATCTATCGTATGGACATTATAGGTCAGAAATGGTTACGGTCGACACATAAATATGATACGGTACTGAATGGGTTCTTTGATGTATGTTGGAGTTGTGTTTACCAAAACACATGGTACATATCATTATTATCATTACTCCATTTCGATATGGGATAAGATGTTCTACCGTAGTGTATCCTCTTTGTATGTCAATTTAGGCTTGCTGATAAGATTAATTCTTTCACACAGATGTTGGATGAGGAGTCGGCGTCATTGAAACAAAAGAAAATGGAATTTGAATTCGAGAAAGCGACATTTAACAAGCAAACGGAATTCGCTAAGAACGTTTTAAAGAAACAACACGACGAAGTCAAGGTGTTGTAATTAAAGTATATTTCTAGTAACTGCTTAATGATTAGAAATTTCTGTTTCAAAATGTTTAACGTTTTTTTAACCACGTCTATCTAGTATCTACATAATTATATTGTTAGTGATCCATACACCGTTGTCAACGTAGTAGTTGGGAGATGCAATAATTATTTGAAATTTTAGATGATAAAGGATGATATAGAGAAGGAGTACCAAGAAAAACTTACAAAAATTAACGATGAAAACTCGAGAGTTTTAAAGGAAGCGGCAATTGTTGCAAAAGAAAAAGCATCGATACAAAGCCTAAAGATGGAACTTGAGGTACATGTTGTCTACATATCATTTATGTTTTAATTGCTAAAATTTGATACATAAAATCGCTCGCTTAAATTTCACTCTTTCACACAATATCACAATCTTCAATTTTAATGAGATGTTTAGGTCTTTGCTTGGCTTTTTAGTTTTTTTAATTTCAATAACGAATTCGCTGATGCCGCTGCTGTAGTCTATCTGATTAAGAATAACTTATTCACACTTGTCTCGAAGAATCTCTTTATGAACACCTTACTTTATTATTATTGTATCTATTTAAAAAAAATCTAGATGAAAACACAAACTTGTTTTCAATGTTTTTGTAATACAATATATTAACAAAAGTACGAATTATGTTATTCAAACGTTAAATCAAATTTTATACATTCTACGAAATTAAACACGATACTTTTATTATTATTAATGTATAACTTTTAGCTTATTTATGTATAATTATGAGACAGAACTTTTGTTTCAAAGAAAACGAAGGCTGAACTACAGGGTCAGTTAGAAGAAATGTCTGAAGAGAGGTCCAAATTAAGCCTGGAAAAGAACGAATTGCGTATGGAGGAACAGCGAGTATTAGCGAAGTAGGTGCTACAGTACATTGATATATTTTTACATACTGATTAGAAGAGTTGCTCTGTTGATGTTATTTGATAGTCGCCTCCCGTTGACATTTGCAGCACCCGTAATGCTGCCGATGCGTTGCCAACTTGAAATAAAGTGGGCCCCGGCTCCCTCATTCACCAAACGAAACGCAGAAGTATAACACTTCCACTTGACGTCAGTCTTCTGTGGGAACGTGGTGCTTACCCGGACGGACCTGCCCATTCGTCTAGCAGAGAAGACTATTGCGTAGCCCTAGCACAGTTAAAATACTTACATCTCATCTTAAAATCTTAACAATTAAAACTATAAAAACGTCACGTCATACCACTTCAGGGGCAGAGAAATAGAGCAGCTCACGAAAACCGCAATGGAGAAGCAGTCGCAGGCGGAGAGGAAGAGTGCCGAGGCAGACAGCGTTCAGAGGAAATACGAGGACGGAATGCGTCGCTTGCAAGAGCACTTGTTGTCCCTCAACGCGCGCGAGAAAGAGATAGCCAGAGAGAAGATCGTGCTGTCGCGCGAGCGGATCAGCCTCCACAACGACAGGAAGCGGATGGAGAGCGAGCGAAAGTGCTCCTTATGCCGCTCCACACCCAGAGCACAATATCCCGAATATCCGAACACGTACGAAACGCCCGCTTCGAGGGATTACGGCGACGCGAATGTGAGCCGTGCGCTGAGCAGCATAGAGCTCGAAATGGCGCAGCTGGTGGGCCGCTCGCTTGGATTGAGGCACGAAACCGCCTCGGCCGGTGCAAGCGAACGCCCGCTAGGTGGCGTTAGCGGCACAGGAGGCGCGGACGTTGTGCCGGATACTGGCGGATTCAAGGTGAGGTGTCGTTGTTGCGTGTGGAAAGCGAAGTATTTGTTATTTACTAGCGACCCGCCCCGACTTCGCACGGGTGCAATGTATTATACATATAAACCCTCCTCTTGAAACTTTCCTCTTCCTCGAAACCTTCCTACTTGAAACCTTCCTCTTCCTCGGTTTTTACTAGATAGAGTGATTACTCTATCTAGTAAAAACCGCATCAAGTTCCGTTTCGTAGTTTTAAAGATCTAAGCATACATAGGGACAGACAGATAGCGGGACGACTTTGTTTTATACAATGTTGTCATAGGAATTATTTTTTTAAATGAGATGGTGACAAGCGTGCTGGTTCAGCTGACGTTGTCATAGCCGCCGCCCATGTACATTTGCAAACACCCGTAGGTACGGTTGCAGATGCGTGGCCACCTCTCAATAAAGTGGGCCCCGCTTATCTCACTCACCAGACGAAACGCAGAATCCGATATTTGACGTCGTTGGTACTTCCCCTGACGGACCTGCCTATTCGTTCAACAGCGAAGACTGTTGCGTGGCCCTATTAGACGTTTGTCATTGCGGTTGCAAACGATCTGGCGGCGGTTCCAATAATGTGCCTACCTTGTTTCAGGACTATATGGACCCTAAGTTTATGATGCTGCGCCTAGACGTGCAGAAGGTCATACACAATCTGGGCGACAAAGACGCTTCGTTGGACAGGAACTAGCCGTGTATATTTTCGTAAGGAATAAAAGACTGAATCAATGTATTAGAACTCGTTTAATTTCCATTCCACGACTGTTACAGCGGAACAGTGTTCAAAGATCCTTTACACGGTACCGTTACACGAACGTACTCAACTGCAAAGGTTACATGCTAAATTAACATAAATATCTCGACGTAAAAAATATAGGTACACAATCTCTCTTATAACGATAGAATTTAATTTATTGATACTAACATATGCATCTAGTATCCAATAACCGAAACTAGTTTCGGCACACAATATTAATGGCTTCATATATAAATTATTCATTAATTTACAATTCATTATGAATATTAGAAATATATTTTATAAACGTTCAACTAAACCACAAACTCCCAGTCTTTCATTAAAATTTAACTAGCTACTACAATATTATGGACGGCTTGGCCTAATTTCTTTCTTTGAAAATATTCCTACGCCTGTTCAGATCTTGTATATATCGAACGAAAGACAGGTCGATATTGTATACAACTATACAGTATTTATAAAGATTTCTGCGGCCAATGTTATTCTAGAATGTTCATTGTAGTTTTAGATGATATAATATGCTGCAGTAAAATGCAAATGTTTTTATCACATTGTTTAGGGAAGGATAATGGAGAATGAAATTTGTATTTGGATTTATATATTTCGAAGTATACAATTGCACCCGTTGTTTCGTAGTAAGCTTTTAATATAGCCGACTATTTTTACATATAAAATTTCAGAGATAATAAGGAACGATAATATCTGTATACATAATAATATATTGTATTCATTATATATTTCATTTATTACACTTATCAACAATATTTACATTCGCTTTTATCGGTTTTTTATTACATTGCCTATATATTGAATGGGCAGGCACTGAAAGAACTACACCTAGTTATATATTTCCTTCAATATACTCTATATATTATTTTTTTTGTATATAAAAAGCAAGTTTCAAGAACTATGTACAACAATAAGTACTTCAACATAAACGAAATAGGCTAACGGAAGATCGAAGGTATTACATTTCATTGGAGTCGGTTGGGTTCGCATCTAAATTAAGATTGTGAGATAAATACCGCGATGATGAAACTGTTTAGTTTTCCCGCAAAGCTTTGTCACAGCGAAAACGTTAGGTCTATCGAAAATGTGTATGAAAACCGTCCGAAAGAAATAATACCTTACTATGATAAGATTAAAATTAACGTTAGTGGGTTTACTTTTCACACGCGCGCTGTTTGTCTGTTATGACCTCTCTTCTGGCTTTGGGTATTTGACTTCTAGGAGTTGCGGGTAGTTCTCAACAATGGCTAATAGGATACCGTCGATGTAGGTCCTTAATTGCACGTTGACGTCCTGTTGCTCCTTCAAGGCTTTCTGCAACTGTAACGGGTGGTTATGTGTTATAACAATGCCTATTTATAATAACGTAAATAGAGTAATAATAGAGAAATAAATACGTGCAAAGAGAAGAGGAAATAACATACGTTATATGGGATTCAGATACTATAAAAACAGCATTAATAGACGTTGTACTCTTTAAATATAATATTAATTTACCATTTTAGTTTTGTGCAAGGTTTAACTGTTTTGATCTCGTTTGTTGGTGCATTTAATGATTCAAATTGGTACAAAATGGTGTGTGATTTTCCTTTAATTTAATGTTGATCTGTTAAGTACGAAGGATGTGATATTCAAATTAATAAATTTACGATATTTATAAGAATTGAACATAAAATAAAGAAAAATATTGGTATTGAGTATGGATGGAATGATTTTAGAAAATGAAATTAATAGATGAAAGCGTATTAAAAGTGTAGTTAAGAGAGAGAAGGAAATATCCAGTGCGAGTTGTAACAATTATTATGTTAAATTTATAGAGCAGTGTGCATTTGAAGCGAGAGACCATAAAGTATGAAAAAGGTACAGTGGGTTTTGCAGTATATAGTCTGTATCTAGCATGCGTTAGGGCCTGTGTAAAATATAGGACATGCACAGTGAGTTGTAGTATGCGTACCTTTTCCAACTCTATGCTGTGATCAGTTTGTGTGCTACCAACGGGCTGCAAAAACGCATATATAAAGATATAAAATTACGCCAAAAATGAGCAAAGCGAGTATTTTGAACATGATAATGATTACATGGTTATTTTTAGCAATTGAGCTCTTGAATTAGGCAATAATGGTATGTTAAGTTCGGAACATTGAATGTTGGCTTTTAATTAAAATTACATTTTTGTATTCTGCTTAAGAAAATGAAGATAACAGAAAAACAGATTTATTTTAATTTGAAAAATGTTCAACAAAGGCATTAAAAGATTTTCTTTTTTCTTGATGTTTTTATGTAACAGAGTTTAGGGCTTCTTTGACGATTAAAAACAATTTTACATCTGTTTTATTATTAAATACAATTTATATGTGCCCGAATTTACTGTCTACTGACAATTTACGAAATAATACTCTTGTTTACGTCTCCGTGTGTGACCAAAAGACGGACAAAGGCACCAATCACAAATAAAGTTCGAACCAAAGAAGCCCCTGTACTCCGTGGCTGCGCAACAGTGAGATTGGAGGAGCGGGCTAAGTTTTAGGAGTTATCGAGGTGGAGGCGCTATGAGTTGGAGGGACTATTAGTTGGAGGGGGCTATGAAGTTAGTAGGAGGGGACTGTGCGCTTAGTGTGGATGGGTTTTGAGGTGAGTAGGAAGGTATGTTATGAGTTTGGGGCGTGTGCGAGCTGTAGGAGATTATGTTTGTACGGTAGGGGCTGAAACGTCGGTATACCTCGTGGTCGGACATCTGCGATAGCTCGTGCGCAAGAGAGTTGGCCACTAGCGGGCCGCTGACGTTAAGTAGGCTGCGGCCTTCCTCCACGCCACGTGTCAGTATTTGCGCTTGCAGCTCTTCCTGCGCCTCGGAAAGCGCTGCAGGAAGACGAAAGCTTTTTAGAGATGCGTCTTTGTTTTTTTTTATATGAAAAGTTGTCCATCGCATAGGCGATTCACTTGATATTAAGCGCTTGCAGATGCGTTAACAACCTTTAAAAAAGTTAACCCTGTTTACCTCACTCCCCAGAGGAAACGCGAAACTTTAATACTTTTAGTTTACGTCAGTCTTTTGTGAGACAGTGGTACTTCCCCGGAGGATCCTACACATTCGTGCAACATCGGAAACTTCTGTTTGCATGCTGCAAGTTCTACCGGGAGGTGTAAGAATAGCGGCACGCGTGTTGCGTTACCCTCCCGGGCTAACCTCCCGAATGTTTCAAGCGTGAACGATAACTCTATGAATTCGTCAAAACGTGAAAGTTTCAGATGTCGTTAATTGTGATTGCATTGATATAGAAGCTGCATTTACGTAACCATTGGACATAAACTTTTAATACAACTCTCTATCGCGGTAGACCCACGCAGCAAGTTCTGTTGTCGCACGAGTGGGGCTCACTAGCATCACTATGCTAGGGACCGAGTCAGGCGTGTTGACTCACATCTGTTCTGCGTGCGCAGCAGCGCGAGCTCCTCGCGTAGCTCGTCGAGGCGCGGGTCGGGCGGAGGGGGCGTTGCGTCGCGCGCCCGCCGCAATTCGCGCTCGGCGCTCGCCAGCTGCGCCCTGAGCGTCGCGCCCGCCGCCCTCTCGCGCCTCTCCGCCTCCCGCGAGGCGTTGAGCGCGGCCGTCAGCTCGCCGACCGCCTCTTGCGCCTCTCGCTGCGCCCGCGTCGCCGCCTCGCCGTTGGCGCGTAGAGTTTCCGCGACGCCGCGCAAACGGCCCACCTGATAGTGTGATTTATATGAATTGAGTCGAATACTGTGACTTACGTTGACTGTATAGGGATGATTTTTAAGTAATCGTTTGACCAATTGACAATGAGGAGATCTTTCTTCTTGTACAATGAAACTGGACAGTTTCATCCTCCTTCGAGATTCTTGCAAATGACACAAGCTATAAAATTTATATTAATTAGTGTCAATGAAAAATACTCGTGACTTCGATTATATTTACACATATCGCGATGAGCTTTGAGGTGGACGTAGATGACATTAATTGACTTAATGAACTATAACCTTGTTTGTGGACGTAATTAATCTGGGAGGATTAAACATATTTTATTTACCACCAAAGTGAGATGAAAGAAGAGCAAGCAGTTCATCTGATGGTTCATGATGTCTGCCAACCATCGGACACTGACACCACCAGATGTATAGCCAACCTTCAAGAGGTTATTAAACTCACCGAATGAAAAGCAACAGTATTGTCACTTCCACATCACACCGGACTTCTAAAAAGCATGGGGCCCTGGCAAACAACTTCCTCTGACGAGCTGGCCAAATCAGCAGCAGCAAAAAGCTGTCTTCCAGACTAGAGTGAATAAGTTTTACTAACTTAGAGCGTTTACTATCTACGTCCACATCGCCACTTACCACTGTGGTCAAGAAATGGCCAGTTACTTGTGAAAAAAGCTATTGTAAAGCTCTACCAGGGCAACATACGGAGGTAAAAACTTCGAGGCTTCAATCTCATACCTCCTGCTTGAGATCTGAGGCCTCGTTTTCGGCGGCGGCCAGGCGATCGCTGATTGCCGCCAGTTGGGCTTCTCGGTCCCTTTCCACGCGAGCGATGGCCTCACGGCATCGCTTCTGCTCCTCCGCTATCCGCTCCTCGCAACGGCTCTCGATCTGTAGAACGAGATAGCGATATCGTTGTATCTCTATTTACGAGAATAGAATATCAAATGCACTGCTGAAGTTCGCCTAGACACTTTTTGGGACTTTCAGAGAGGACCATATTGCTGCGGGGAAATTGAGTATCCTTCGTTTGTTCTCGATAAGTAGCTTTCTGTCTAGCTCTCAACATGTACTGGCCGAACATGCAGAGGCAATTTCACTTTTAGCACGACCTTTATTTACATTGAACTAGAAGTAAAAAGGCCAAACCAGCTGAGTAAGGTGCTAAGTTAAGATTCAGACCAAAAATCGTTTACAATGTTGATGAATAACGCAACAGACAGCTTTTATTCCTGTTGATAACACCACGCCACGAGATAATTATCTTATTTTAATTATGTATACATGTGTATGTGCTATCTTATCCTTTAAACGAGCAATTCTTGTATATATATATATAATCGGAATGTCGGAAACGGATCCAGCGATTTTCATGAAATTTAGTATGTGCATAGATTCGGGGGCGAAAAATCGATCTAGCTAGGTTTCATTTTTAGAAAATGTCCTTTTATCCCTGTTTTCAGGGAATGAAAAATATAATTCGAATATGACGGTAAATTTCGCCGCAAGAGAAATGTCATAATAGCTCGGTCGGTAATCGGGCGGCGCCAAAACTTTTTAATTTATTTTTTTACTTTTTTTTCGATTCCAGATCATTGCTTTCTTTATTTTTAATTTTTTTGTCGATTTGTTATTTTGTTACTTTTTTCCCATTTTTTTTAGTTCTTTCTTTTGTGAAAAACATCAGTTCATATTTTCTTATTATTACGTAGGTAAAATCGAAAAATATTATGCATATTTCATTACTCAGTAATTTGTATCTAAATGTAATTTCCAAAATACACGATTTACCAAAAAAAAACAAACCTCCTCCGGGTACTGTATACATAATGTTACTTAATGTTGACACATACATGATTCAACAGTATTTTTGAATATAGATGTTTTTAGGTAACAATTATGTCGTCATTACGGCGTATTTGACGCAACCAATATTGAAATAAATGATATTATAATTAACTGACGCCTGAATACGAAATAAATTATTACATTTTGTACTTGTGTCGCTTTTATTTTATAATTAGTGGTTTCATTCATTCTGCTATACTTTTCTTAGTTTAACTTATTATATCATTATTGTAATTCAATTTCAATGATAATTTGTGGACAAATAAGGTAAAAGAATAATAGTAGAACTACATTTTTTTAAATTTAATGTTATCATTTTTATTGTAACTTTGCTTTATACTTAATCCAAATATTTACCTCAATTTTTGTGTAAAGTAATGCTGTATTTGTCTCTTGTATTGTGATGAGATGATAAAGAAGTTATTATCATAATTGTTGTTGTTTATAACTCAAAGTACACTTTGAACTCAATACTGCGCTTATCTGAAATTGGTTCTTCATTTATTCATAAACATCTGACTTATGAGCTTACATAAAAATGAAAGGTATTTACTAAGTCCTGTTGATGTATATGTTAAAGAACCCATAAACAAGTTATGAGTATATTTTTTAATGTTTATTCTACATGCTGAACAGATTAAAAAAATAAATATTAGGTAAATAGCATAGCATAGTATTGGGAAAACCAGCCAGCATTTAATTTTGATTTATTGTTTCCTCACCTAATTGGCGGAAGGGGTTACCTGCCAACGCAAGGGACGGGGGTTTGCTACGGCAATGGGCAGAAACTAATTTCGTACGTTGTAGAGTTTTGTAAAATAAATGTTTTATGTCGTCCGCATTGCAAAAAAAGAAAAACAGCTGTGGCTTTTAAAGGTCGAGGCAAATGCGTCGTAAAGGTTCGAGGTGAGAAACATAAGGTGCCGTGTACTATTTTAGTTTATAACTTGTATAGTATTTCGTGCTTATCGTCGTCATATGTGTAAGACACGTAAATGTCCACGATGAGCAAAATATGTCTTTTTAATTAACTACCGAAAGTTTGAAATAAATTTCCGGCTTGGTGCATTAAACTATTTACTGTTCAGTAGGAAAGTAACTTATCTGGTATTGAGTGGTTACAGACACTTCCATGAAATAGGCTAAAGGAACAACGAAAGTTTCATTAAAAAGGTTAAAGGAAAAACGAAACTTCAATTAAATATGTTAAAGAAATAACGATACAATTCGCTTCGTGTGAAAGTTTTTTTTTTCTAAATTTATTATTCATTGAACGTAATAAGCGACTGAGATCGGAAGTTGGCACTGATTATTCAGTCCATTCTCCGTAACATGTCAAATGTAATCAAAGTGAAAGAAAAAACAAAAACGATTAATTGTTCTTTAGAAAGTCTTAAATATTGTAAATACTTTGTTATTAATTGTTATCGATATTTGTATTTTGACAGTAATAACTAATTAAGTAAATATATTTCAAAGTGTTGTAAGAGATTGTATAATCAGAATTAACGTACTCAGATCCATCAAAAAGATCAGATAAATAAGTAATTGGTTTTTGTTACGAATTAATCAAACTGAAAGATACGTGTCATTATAAGAGTCATTTGCAATAACGTCGCTTGCATTGCTTTACATGAGTACAATCCTTAGACAAGTCTTGCGAAAGCTAGAATAGAAGCGGTCTCTCTTTCATGTTCGAAGTTACGTACATTTGTAGCCAGTGTATACAGTGTCACATTTGAAACTTAATGAACTCAATAAAATTGCACAGCATGAGATATCTGTGCTTACTCTTTGGGTTCCATGACGTGACTGATTGTGTATTTGTGTTATGGCTAATTAAATCGCAAAACTATCTTAATTATTATTTACAACAAAATTTACAAAAATAAAATGACAAGTGAGAAAATAAAATGACAAATTACTTATATGAAAGTATACGTAATATGTATAAGTGTACATAATGCGCAAACATGAAATTCGCATTAGCAACTGTCGTAGGTGAAACGAGAAACAAAATAGTTAAGTATTAGTAAATACCGTTATTAAATATTACACACATAAAAAAATTTGCACGCTTGGATTCAGGATAATTTGCTAATTAATGAACTTAGAGAATTAGGAGCCAAGTGTATGAGACTACGCACCTCTCTAATTTGTTCGTCCAGCATGTGGACCCTGGCCTGCAGCACTGCGTTGTCGGCCTTCGCCCTCGCGTACCTGTCGTCGGCGGTGCTCTGCGTGTCCGCTAAGGAAGTCACCTGTTGCTGCAGGAGCTGCACCTACGAGGAAGCGAGGAACGTTGAGTGCATCATCGTCAATCATCAAAACAGATTAAATATTATCATCAAAACACATGAGTCAGTATTATCAGTAATGATCTGGTTGGTTGATCAACGGACTTGAAATACGAAATTCACCGGTGAAGAGACGTGCCGCATATACTTTGCGGATTTCTCGCTTGTTGAAATAATTTATGCTAAGTTGCTGGGTGTTTGTCCTCGTGCAATTTATGTTCTCAGTCGGCTCATCGGATGTTAAGTAATAAACATCGCCCTTAGATACCACAATAGTAGTTCGGAGTTGCAAAAGCTTTGTCTACCTCAAAGTGTCCCAGTTATCTAGCTCAGGAAATGATAAGTATTTTTACTTTATGCATTAATATGCATTAATTAGTTAAAACAGGCAATCGGTAGATTTTTAAATGGCCAATAAAAGTTGGCTAGCGGGCATGCGGTTAACCTGATATTAAGTGCTTACACCTGACATCTACAACACCTGACGGATTGCAGATGCGTTGGCAACTTTTATGAAAAGTGGGACACCAGACGAAACCAAGGAAATTATAATACTTCCACTTAACTTTTCTACGAGGCCTTGGTACTTCAGTTATGTATATACAGAGCGTTTTGTTGTAATCTCTAAGCAATTATAGACAAGTCGTTACGGCCCATGGCCATTGCGGAAGTTATTTGTAAGGCGAACACAATAGGGCCGTGTTCGTATGCAATATGAAAACATTACTTTATCCACGAACAGAGCGCTGATGAACTATGTCGGAGGCTCAATAAATGAACGTTCAAGTATTCTCATATTTTACCATCTGTTACTTCAGCCAAGTTGACACGAGCGAAGTTTTCTTACACTTAGAGAGACTTTAATAGAATGGACAGCTTACAAGACGCTATTTTGAACGTTAAAGGGTGACGGCGCTTAATCAAAGTGGACTTGGACCTCGGTTTTTTATTTACAGTATGCAGTATGATGGGAATTGATCTACCAACGCGATTATTGTGAAAACTGTCTGCCTTAAAGTATAAATAAAATTATCCAAGTGAACTTTGTGATAACCACATCAAAGAAAACTTGAACTTGTTGATACAGCTTTAGTTTCGGCTGGTTATTCTAATTCATTTATATAACAATGCTAAAATATGGAGTCTTAACGACCAACTGTGAGTGAAGCGATGATCTGAATATATAAATGACCTTTGCAAATATAAACAGTTACCGTTTAAATATAAATAATGTTATCCGACATAATTATGTTTACATAAATAAGTATAGATAACTGTAAGAAGAATAAAGTATAAATAACTGTTTTAATAATTAAATCACGTTTTTGGTAAAATAAACTAACACATTTGTATATTACTATATAGACATGATCTGCTAACACGCAAGTGCAAGAAATTAATACATACTTAGAACATGCAAACGAAAGTGCATTATTGAAATAGCAATTTACAGAGACCGGTTTAGAAGGCAGCTGTTTGCAGAAGAATCTGGTGCAAGCACGTTTTAACAAAAACTTACGTTTTTTTAGCTTACAAGAAGTAATTCGCAGCCGCGATCTATGTAATGTAGTAATTGAAAGAACAGTTATAACGAAAGTTTAACACTTCTATATTAACATGAATTCAAATTATTGGAAAAGAAATCAATATCTCTAGAGATGTATTTTTAGTTTGATTCGAGTTATCGTTACAAACTTTCGAATTCAGAAATAATAAACAGGTTTTTTTTGTGAATACGATGTTAATACGGGTTAAATGATTACTTGGGTAAGTTTCTATATATCTATTTTTCTATCAATATTATATTATAAGTGATTCGTTTTAAATTTCCAACGTTCATAAGCGCCGATGATTTATTTTGCCACCATGCTCAGCGGTGAAAATAGCACGAATGACTATCGTACAACTGATTCAGACTTATTTCCAAAACGTCCTTGAGTTGCGCAGAAACATTGCACGGCCTTTTCGATGCTCCATTACAAATTGCTATTTTCAGATGTTGCTCAAAACAATATTAAATTACAAGATGATTTTTTCAGTTATAAATACACCTGGATCGACCTTACTGATGTGTCGTGAATAAAATTAGCAGTTCCAATTGTGAACAGTACGATTATTGCCAACGACTATATTTCAAATGTCTGTGAGTGCAGTTACAACAGATTAACTTAAGCTCTCTTTACTATGGATTTGTGAGTGAAAGTGTTTACTTATTGTCTTACGGCCGGTTTCGATATTCGATCTACAGATAGATTTTGTTACTAGCGATGGGTATTTGACATCAACTCCATAATACTTACGTCAAAATTCTGTCTCCAGTAACCAAAACTATCTTTAGATCGAATATTAAAACCGGCCATTAAACAGTTGTCGCTAACGTTTACAAAAGATAATCAAAAACAAAAGTTTATTCAGGTAAAATGTATTTGAATTCAAGTTAAATAGTGTTATTAATACTTGAAAATCAAACAATCAAATCTAATGGCTTACCACTGACGATCTTAGAATCATTTGGATCATTTTAGTTGCCAGTTTCTTATAAAAATATCGAATGATCTATTAAGCTCAAACAGTTTGTTTACACCGTCTGACCTACCCGGTGCATTTAATGATTGATCGGTCTTATTTAAGAAGCAACTGAATGTCAATTACAATTCATTAGGGTGAACAAATTGTCAACTATCAACTAAAATTAAAAATTGTAAAGTATTCACTAAAAATACATTTCTTATAGTCAGGTGTCATTCATAATTTCTCATACATTACACGTACTTTTTTTATTTTTTACATATTTTAATCTTTTCACTATTTCTTATTATATTTCTAAGTCGATTGTCGACCTAGTGTGATTTTTAATTTATAAGAATTGGAAAAATAACGCTTTAAATGAAATTAATCATAATTTTGACCAAGAGAGTTCACAATCTCGTCTATGATTTTAAATGTGCACATACATCGATAGATAGCTTTTTCTACGTTGAGAATTTGGCTAATGAAAGATACGTGTGAAAGATTCTACTATATGTTTTTGTTCATCGAACAAGTGTCAATGGCCGAATAATAAATGCAGCGCCGCTAACGTGCAGTGAGATTATTCTTGATCGATATTGCCGTTTCTATTTTCATTATTGAATTTGAAATTTTATTCAATTTCTACAGTTATATAACATGATGCTTGTTGTAAACTCTACACTTTTACTGTTTGTATGGTTTTCCCGACAACAAGATGAATGAATTTGAAAGATTTTGTGACGTAAATAAAGATTTTAAAAAGTAAAGGTTGTATAAATCAAACTAGACATATTGTTAAAAAATGTTGATAAAGGTATAGAATGGTACCAATATAAGTTACCGCTCCTTTTTTTACATCATTAAAAAAATCTAGATAATTTATCATCGTACGAAGAACGATAATGGTTAATAGGTTTCAGGAAGTAGCCTTGCTTCTGAGACATAGTAGTGAGTACACAAGGCCCGTAATGGGCTAATGTTGGTGTAGATAATGTGTGAGTAACTAACACAGTATGCTCAGCTGTCGAACGGAAAAAGGACTGATTCAGAGCATAGTGAGTAATTTCAGCTAGATGAATCTGATGATGAATATAAATAAATAAATAAATATTTTAGGACACATTTTTACACAACATTTTCTAGTCCCAAACTAAGCAACGCTTTGTACTATGGGTACTAGAAAACTGATAAACATACTTAAACATACTTTTCTTTTGTAAATAAATACATATTATAGATATATAAACACCCAGACACTAGAAAAACACTATGTTCATCACACAATATCTCTCCAGTAGTGGGGATCAAACCCACACCCTCTGGCGCAGGCGGCAGGTACACTAACCACTACGCCATTCGGGTCGTCAAATGATAAAGCTAGATGAACTTCTAATTTCTAATTTATCTATTCTATGTACCCTAATATTACCCAGAGAAACTTATTTTTATCATGTATGAACTGAACAATAATGTTGAATAGAAAATAATAAAACAATTCTAGCCCACTTTCAATTAAACGGCGAAACTACTGTTTATCGCGGAAAATAATTTTGCTTAATAATCCGATTCGTCAGACTTGAAACATACGGTTAAGTTGTCGGATACAATTATTATATATGTGTTATTAGTATAAATTATTTTCATTAATAGTGGTTATTGTTCTTTATTTATAATTTTCATTTTTCTTTAGGTGTACATGGGCTTTAACTTACAACTTGTGGCGACTATTGAAGTGTTCATTTTTACTGCAGCGATTGTTAAATACAAATAGATTACCCTATGACAGCAATCATCATCATCATCATCCTCGTGCCCTTTACCTAGGTGTGGTCATGTTGTAAGTGGTAAAACCACTAGCTGAGCTAGGTTTTTTACGCCCGGCCGCCTGATGTCAATCCTCCTTGGAAACAAGCACCCAGATCCGGAAAAATTATTTTCGGGTGACAAAAATACTTGTCCCGTGTGGGAATCGAATCGACGATTCCTGGCGCAGAGACCAATAGCTTAGCAACGAAGGAGTCATCACCCAATGATAGCAACCATTGATAGTAAAATAAATACTGATATTAATAGTGATGACTCCGTGGCGCAGTTGCCAAGGTATTGGCTTCGGCGTCGGGGTTCGTGGGTTCGATTCCCACACGGGACAACTATTTTATGTGACCCACAGATAGTTGTTTCGCATCTGGGTGTTTGTCCGCGTGAAATTTATGTTTGTAAAACGTCCTTACAACACTGGATAAAATTTTCCTAAAGTAAGGGCAATTTAAAAAAAATAAAAGAAAATATTGACAGGTTAATTTAATCATACAAATTCTGCATTATATATATCTTTGCACCTAATCTTAATAGATTGATATCGATAATTCAATTTCAGTGTATACATTATCAGATCAGCATTAAATGCTTTTTATTGTATAACGATTAATTTCAATTTTGGATAATGAAGACTCCAAGGAATGTAAGAAAGTAGAAACTCTTGATCCGAAAAGAAAGACGGCAGACCACGTCTTTCATTCAGTTCGCAATTGATCGATTGATGAAAACGAGTTTTTGGTGCTTTGAGACTTTTCATGTCCCAAAATGGCCGATCGTTGTCAATTATGGTATTTGGGATCGAAATAAAAGTTAATGTTCTCTTTTAAGGGTCACACACATCAATGTGCCACACGTTTCGTCAGAAGATATTTTCGGAATACGTACAACGAACACGGCGAATTGATCACATGCCAAAATGTGAATCAATATTCCGCGAACGACACGCCACCGGTAGTCCGGATAATATTCTTTAGCACTATACATAATTTTAGCGTCGCGAAAGCAGTTTGCATTGGACCTGTCGTAGACAGGGATGTTATCATTATTGTTATCAATCAAGGACATGTATTTTTGTCGGCGAACGGAAAATGTTTATAAAAACAAAACTCAGGATTCATAAATTATTTTGCACCGGTTTTAATATTTAACACCATATTGTGATATTTGCATTCAAACATAGTGGGAAGAAAATTTTCAGAGTTATTTATTGATAATACATATATCTATAAAATAGGTATTTAGTCACTTTTAATATAGTAACAGGTAATAATAATAAATGAAATTTTGCAATCCACAGTCTAAAACAAATTTAGTTTTGACGTGAATAATAAACATTGTTACAATCGAATTATTTTATGGGTTTTAGTGAGTTTGGTATTAAGTCCTCGAGCGGACCATAATAAATAAATTAAAAAGTGTACCGTCTCGGATTGACTACGGACATTAGGACGATATGCATGTCTGTCTTTCCCGTGACCACGATATCTGTAAAGTGGTCGAAAGTCGAAGGTTTCATTCGAACTAAACGGGACAAGGTACATAAAGTATAAACCATTTTATGCACCTTGTCCCGTAGCCAAATTTATTTACAGTTTTGACAACCCTATTTATTCATTACAGTAGTCACGGGTCGATGAAAGATCGAATTTTGAGACAGACTTTCACGTCGCGATAGTTAGCACGCGTTGTGTTGCAAGACAACGTCTGCAGGTGGCTCGAAGTTATGCATCCTATAAGACAATGTTTAATCTGTTGCTGATGGTTTTTGAAAGAAAAATAAAAAGTTATGAAAGAAAAATTGTTTTTTAAATCTTTGACCTAAAACATTCTCCATCACTCAATCCAAAGGACAATATATCAACACTTTCTTTCGTTACTTTTTAAGAATTAGTGCGTCTGCTACTACCGGTGACAATAGACGACATCACCACCTACCATCAGGACAAGTTTATGGTCAGCTGGGCAGTAATAAATAAAACATCTACGAACAAACACTTGAATATATTCTTGAAAACTATAACTTGTCTGTTATTTAAAACCAATTAGGGTCGGAGACGTTGTCTTCAGACAATCCGCGTTATCAAATAACAATTTGCGGTTGCCGATGCTCAATAGCGTTCTGGCTGATTACACGAGACAAATCCGAATTGGAAACTGCGAGCCATATTACACGCTGAATAGTTACCGGCTGGTGAGTTGCAACGGAAAAAGAATTAAAATGGATCGTAAGTAGCGATCGTTTCATAGCTAATTATAAAATAAATCTACGCTGAACAGTCATGTAATAAACGGTAAGAAACTATAATAAAATTAGCTTTGCTTAACACCTGTTTGCGAGGCTTCCCTTAATAAGATATACGCTACTCATTTGAATGGCGTTACGCAAGAGAGAGCTATTGTCTAGTGGCAAACTACAACAAACAAATTACATATTTCATTGTCCGAGCTTAACTGATGTATTATGCAAGAGCTTTCCTTGCAAATGAACTAAAACTTTGATGTGGTATTAATCTCGTAACTCGATTTTCATAATTTGTTGGTGCACGAGAGAAAAGAGTACTGAAGAATTATGTATGAAACGTTTTGAAACACTCAGAATGTTTGAGAGTAAAATGCATTACCATAAAAAAAGCTAAATGTAAAAATTTGTCTTTTAAAAGTTGGTGTCCATTAACGCGATACAAAAATTATAGAACGAGAAATAAATGCGTGGCCAGTGGCCGATGTTTTCAGTTCGGAATTAGCGTTTAGAGCTTGTTTCTAAAGACAAAATATCTGAACGGTGACATTTCAGAGTATTATTTTTACGATAAGATGAAGGAGAAAGTGAAAACTTTACCAAAGCTCTCGAATTCTAATATTTATAAAACATACATTAAGATGATATTAAAACACTTTCAACCGCTTCTTTCTTAGTTGAAATTATTCATAACGATAGTGAATGACTATACGTTTTACATTTCGATTGTAGTGCTTCGTTTAAAAGCTCCTTGCGTTATTAATATTACAAAAGTGAAGTTATTATTAAATATCAGAGAGAGCGTTTAAAGGACTTAAATCTTACATTATAACAACTCGTTATCTCACTGTACGTTTACATATGTATAAATCATGCATCTTACAGTGGGTCCGATTTGATAACCTTTTTTTAATTATATTATGAATAGCAGAATTATCTACGCAGAGGCGAGATTAAGAGGCCCAGTGAGATCATAGGCACGCTCATATGTCGTGTTCTGCGCTTAAAAATAAAAACTTTGTAAATATGCATAGTTAAATTAAACACGACTGTAATCTCAATAATCCAAATGACTTGACATCACCTTAAAGATATTCATGGATTATTGATGTTCATATGTTTATATTACAAATTCAAGAAAACAATTATTCCTCCATATAAAGATGATGGTTTCTGATTGAAAGTAAAAATTGTATATTACATATTACGTACCGTTACCACAATAGTTGGTAGAGCCACCAAACAATAGTCGGTTCTCGATAAAAAACATGTGTTAACTTCAATGGTTACTTTATTTTATTAGAGAAATTTTCAATTTAGTAAATTTAAAAGACGTCCGACGAGAAATACAAGAAGAACAACCAGTTTTTTTGCTATAAATTATAGCGAAAGTTAGTAACGTGTTGATATGATAACAGACACAAAAAAAAGTTTGCGTTAGGGCGACACAACGCTCTTCGCTGTTGCATTAATGGGCAGGTCCATCCGGGAAAGTACGAACTCACAGAAGACCGGCGTGAAGTGGAAATGTTACAGTGTTTTCGTTTCGTTTGGTGAGTGAGGTAACCGGAGCACACTTTATGAAAAGTTGGTAACGCATCTACAACTCTACGGGTGTTGAAAATGTCCATGGGCGGCGGTTATCACTTAACGTCAGGTGAATCGCCAGCAGGTTTGCCACCTTCTCACATAAACAAAAAGTATATTTACATGTGTACATTCTAAACGTAGCAGTATTGTGCGTTAATGGAACAACCTTAGGCATTGTAGCAAAGATTATTATCATGGGACACAATCGGGCAGTCAGGTTGAATAGCCGTTGAGCGAGAGTTCGTGACTACCCACAGTCAACGCATTTTCTTGGCGCGAGTCGCCCAGCAACTTTCCAGTGTTTGTTAAACTTCGCTGCTTGGGTATTGGATATTGGCGAGATGCCGGCGGGATCGTGGACAGCGTGTGCACGTCCCCGGCGAGGTATTCCGCTACCATAATGAGGCGGCATATCAGAAATGCAGGCATGCGAACAAGAAAATGGCGCGTTAATGGCGTCGTTTCTTCCTTCGGCCGTCTACAACTACAGGTCGATATTATACTGATGTATAAGTAAATACGACAGAGAACAGATATTTGGTGAAATGAAAATCCGAATTCTGAAGAGAAGCTACTTTGAAATTTCTCATTTCTTACTTTTCATGCCTTTCTCATTTTTCAATTTTGGTTCAAAAACCAAAGGAAGTTCAGTATAAAAATGTAAGACAAATTCGGTTAAATTCGGATAAACATTGCGGATTATTTAACGCGATTTATTTTGACATTTTCAACTCCCGAGATTTGAACCCTTTCCAGCGTTCATGGTCGATTGGCGAACGAAGAGAGAGAGAGAGAGAGAGAAGCCATGCTTCAATCTCCAGATAGTGATTAAGACCGTGCTCGTTTCCAAGGTACCTCATCTGAAGAATCTAGTTATTGTCTTCACGCTTTACCATCGAGTAAGTTAGACACATCATTTGACACGTATTGCAGAAGGAGTGGGAGTCGGGGTGCACCTATTTGTTAACCACACCAATGCCCTTGCGGTGTCAATGTTGATTAAAACGGTCTCCATGGACTTTCATGTAAAAAAGTGCATGTTGCTTTTCCCGCCACGTTGGTCCACAGAACGACGTCATCAGAGCCACTATATTTTTCGCCACGATGGCAAGAGACCCAGCGGCTTGGCTTGATCTCTTGGAAGAGGGCAAAGCCCTTGTTTGGGAAGAATAGTCATTTGCTGTTTGATAAATGATTTGTGGTGCAATGTAACTTACGATGAATTAAAAAAATAAATAAAAAAATAAAATGAATAAAATTTTGGCTGTCAGAGCCAGTAGTAAGAGTATCCGTTCATTTCTCGTTCAATGGCAAAAGCTAGATTCAACGACTATGTTTAGATAACATGTAATTTAGTTACTAAATATTTTTGTTCAATACATTTGGTAAAAGTATTGATTTCTAGGTTATGTTACATGTTATAGTGAGACATACTACAATCACTCGCACGGTTTAACAGGTAGTTGCGAGTGAGAGAATTTTCAAGTTTTTTTTGGGATCACGTAATGATACATTAAGGCCTTCCGCAAAAGTCAGATTGATTTCACTTTGACTGGTACGAATACGCAGTTGCAATTATTTTTAAGTAGGAAATAATAAAGAAGTATATTTGTTACAGTTCACAAATATACTTCTTCATATTAAAATTAAATAGAAATCTTTCATAGATTAAAGAAAGTTTTCATAAGCCGAACCTAATAAAGCCTACATACAGTCTAGATTAAAATTTAAAAACGAATTTAAGAAACAATAAACTATAAAGCAGATAAGCAATTGTTTTAAACAAGGTTTAAACTGTGAAAGTTCCTTAAATAATTGAAGCACGATGAAGTACATCTTTTTTTGAAAGATTTTTAACAATAAATAAAAAAACTAGAAGGACACTTCCAACTGATATCGATGTCTCGTAGGTTTTGCACAAACTTTTATCACGCAGAGACTTCGGCTAGTGTGTGGGGGCCTAATGCGTCTCGGGTCAACGGCCACCACTATGTTCTCCCAGTTGCGCACGGTCAGCACTCACTAAGTATTGGGCCGGTGGACGATAAAGAGTTCGCCGAGCGCCGAATCGATATGCATTCGAGTGCGTTACGTCCCCGGTTATGAGTAACGGTCAATTGCAACCGTTGCTTCGGAATAATGAGGTTGTTTTTTTCTTTGCAAATTAAAGTACGCACACGTTCCCCGTGATTCTGTCGGTAGTGCGTAAAGTTGTTGACGCAGTATTACACTTACCAAAACATTAACACTAGTTATACCAACTTAGACTGATCCATTTTTAAGTAAATATATTTAATATTGATTCGGCTATAGTGACTCTATAGAAGAGTTCTTTACAAGCGGATTAAATATTTACCTATATAAATAAAAAAAATTATGTTGGTACGTACCTCATCTATGCGTTCCTGAACTAATCATCCGATATCACAAAACATTATGTGCACGTTCATTCTCACGGCAAAATTTTAAACATGTTTGGGGGATATTTGGCGCCTACAATTTGTCTGGCGGCATGCAAATAGTGTTGAAGTAGTTTCCAAAATATCATAATATAAAAATCAAGACTCGGACTGTAAGTAAACTTACGTTATTTTTTCGTAAACTTTAAAGAGTCTGGCGGAAATTACCGCCGGCGAAGACTGTCTGGCAATATTGATTTTAAATTTCTAATAAAATTTTGTAAAATATATATAAAAGTCAGCACTCCGAATTTAAGAAATGTGAGCGATGTTTTTATGTACCTTTAGCACCTGGTACCCGTGAATTGGCCGCCGGCCCAAGCTAGCAGGTATGCATACCTTCAGAGTATACCCTAACACTACTCTGTACGATATATTTTATTACTCAGAAAATAAGTAACGTCTGGCGGTCCTGGGCTCTTGGACCATAAGGTTTATTTGAGATCATAACTGAATTGGACCAACTGAATATAACAAAGGAAATACAATATAATACAATGCCACACTTGTGCTAATGTTAAAACGTATTGCAAGGGCGAAAGTATCAACATTGATTGATTGAACTTGACACTGCTCCAGATTTAGATTAAGGCCCGATAAGATTTCACAGACATCAAAGATATGCTGTAAAACATTCGATGGTAGACAACATGAAAATGGCATAAGATTACTACTACCACGCGACAGTAGATATAAACTTCAATGTAAAACTGAAAATTCTAGATATAAATGATTCGGGTAAACTTTATTTTTAAGAATATCGATTATTATCGACGAACCCTTCTGTTACAGTTTTGTAATGTGAAGCAGGAAATGCCGGCAGTATCGTGCGTTGAGGTTTCGCTTGCAAAATGTTAGGTCACCGGATCGCCGGCCTAGAGGGAGTTGCACTGTTGTGAACGGTTTCATAAAATACGTGCCCGCTTCAACTGTTTAACGCGTTAGGTATAATTTGTTGGGTCCTTCGCAACGCCATTGTGAAGATGTGAGGCACGTGGCATTATAGTCAACACCTGGTGTTGCTGAGCGGACGGTCGTGTGTACACGAGGGTCCAGACAGCTCCCTGTATCGCGTAGCCTATTCGATTCAGATGTACCTACACAATTACTTACTAGATCACGCTCTGAGGATGATAAATATATATAGCTGCTAAAATATCGGAGACCAAAGGCATATAAATTGAGTTTTTGTATTCTTGTAAACGAGAAATTAATAAAGATGCAATTAAATTTATATTTATGCAGAATATACTTTCGATGAGACAATTTTTTTGAAGTTTGATGTCAGAAAATCTATCAGTTTAAATTTTTCAAAATTTTCAAGATCAAACTTTTTAAAATTTTCCTCAATTTTCACTCGATTTGATTAAATTTCAAAAATATTTTTACTACTGGGAATAAAATATACATCGTGTTGACCATGAACATGACGAGTAAATGAATACATTGCTATTGTTGGATGAGGAAGGATGTGTGGATATCCTTAATAATTCGAAAATAATTACACAAATGCACGCAAAATAATATTACTGATCCTCGGAAGCTTCTTATTTGTTCTGTTAGGTATAGCTAAAAATTCGCAATTATAAAAGAGATTTTGTTATTTATTACAAACTATAGACCACATAGTTCCACTTTCTAGTATTGACAAACAACTTCGTGTCCAGATTTTCTTTTCTAATGGTTTATATTAAAAGAACGGGAACGAAGAAGATTCAGTTTAGCTCGAATGTGGTTCCATATTCTTTTCATCTCTACAGGATCTTGGACTCCGGAAATATATCAGGGAACTCCCCAAAATCAGATACAAAATGGATAGTGTAGTGTAGGAAAATATTTGATGTGATGAAAAAATGTTTACCGAATCATTTTTACTAAAGGGATCATTAAGTGGAACATGTGACCGTGACACAGATTTATAATTAAAAGGCTTTAAACAAGCCGATTTAAAGTACTCAATTCATTGTGCATTTACGACGTCGTTTTTCATCTGAGGTCGAACATAGAAGAAAATGCCCGCAGTCTGCGTTCAAGCCGTGATAATGTAATGCTGGACAAAATAGCTGTTAGGTACTACAATTGGCCCACACCTATGTGTGACGACGCATAATCCACACCATTCTCCAATCTTCTCTCATGAAGCAGATACTAAATCTTGGGCATATTTCTCGTCTCGCTTTCAAATCCAACCGTGGCTAGAGAGACAATAAACAAATAACCACGTGACTATTTACGAACAAAAAGCAAATATTTCTCAAAGCGTTAAACACGCAAGCACAGAATAATAACAGGGGATAAATATTCACGGCTATTTCAATAATTCATTGCATCGAATTGTGTTGTACGAGTTATGAATTTGCTGTAGCAAAAAAGTTGACGGATATCCTCAGTTTCGATTACCAATGGTTCAGTAATCAGTTAGGTATTCGAAAAAAATATTGTATTCGAAGTACGTACGGTTGCCAAATTAGCTCGTGAATAAATAACCAGTTAATTTAAAGTAAATGTATTTGGTGTAGATGGGTTCCATCATAATTATATTATCCATACCTAGCCATAGATCTGCTATTTATTAGCCTTGAAAAAGGAGGTTCTGAATTCAGTTGTTTTTGAAAAAAAAAAAAGATTGTTACTTCATAGCTCAGTCCAGCTGTTTTGTAACTTTAATTTTTTTTGGAAGTGGATATTTTCAAAAATTTCTTGTACAAAAGTAACATCAAAACATCAACCTACTAAACACCCAAATTGAATAGGATGTATAATGTTTTATGTTAAAAAAAAAATAATGAATAATTTATCAATATAAGTTATTTTTTTAATTGATTGGGTAATGTCCGATGGAACTGATACATAAGTTTTTGTGTAAAAGTCCTGAATAAAATAAAATAATATAAGTATCGTGACAGTCGTGTCTCTCAACATCTAAGGCCAATTTTAATTGTCATGGAGAGCTATTAGTATGTAACGGTGGGTTTATATGACGAAAAATGTAAAACGAGGCCTAGAAGTGTTTTTCATTGGAAAAACTCAAAGTACAAAGTATAGATTTGTAGCGTCGCGTGTCATCGCGGCGATGGCGCGAGCGGTCGGTCGCGCACCGTTCGTCCGATGACATAAAATACTTTTGTTTTCCACAGAGTTCCGCAGACGTTGACAGCCTACTATTGATGATACTACGGGGTTTTTGTGTCTTACAAAAACCTCGTAGTACGTTCGTGAATTGCAAGCGTCGGTTCGGTCGCTATTGTCGAAAGGAATTTGAAGGAGATGGGAATAAGCGACTACCGGAGGAGCAATTCATCAGATAATCCGCCAGTCAAGACTAGTGCTATTAAACCTTAGTTATTTATTTTAGTTAACAAGAAATATTTTGAATCACCGACAAACATTCAAAATACAGTAAAGGCTTAGCAAAATATTTGAGTCGATATAGATAAATGCCAGGAAAGTCAGACTTGTGTGCCAACCCTAGACGATTTCAATTACGAAGACTTCTTAAGGCTGACATAATGATGGTGTGTAGACAAGTTTCTTGTACATATGCAGCGGCACTATCTAAAGCTTAACTTCCGTAATTTGATGTAATGTAAAAAGCGATAAGATCATTAGAACGTTGAGATAAAGAGATCGCCGAGAGCCAAAGGGCGATCCAAGAGTTGGTATGGGCCAAAAGGGATCGAAGACATGCAAATCAAAACATGAGTAAGCGTACACTGAATTATATATAGCATTTATTTAGATGTTCACTTATGTTACAAATGAGTCAAATAAGGACAACTATGCTTTATTATAAGCAATCGAACAATTCGCTAACGTCATTGTACTGTCTTATGACGCGCAGTAGCTTCCAGAAACAGGAGTTCCTGCATCACTACAAATTGCGTATGAGTGTGACGAACGACTAATAATATATGCACTATATGATTGATTTGAAATCGAAAAGCCTGTCGAAATATCTTACTTGATCCGACAAATTGTCACACCACTGATGGGCGGCGGTCTTCTTTCCGCCGTTTACCCCGTTCGTCAGGTGGGGCGTCAGCGGTGCACCGGTGAACAGGTCCTCAGTCAAGCTCACGTCGGATATAATCCTACCGCGCAAAGGCGGCGGCCCTTGGGGACCCACGAAGTCGAACTGGCCGTCCCACATGTCGTACTCCAAGTCGAGACTGTCCTCCACCTCGATCGATTCCCCCATTGTCCCTTTCGCGCGGCCGAACAAGCCGGACTTGAACATTCAAACCCGGTTGATAATTTTACGCCCGTTTAAAACTGCTCGCTCTTTGGACCAATTCCAGTATTGCACTTATGTAACTTAACTTTGACCGTAACCGTAACGTGTAATCGGTGTATAATTTGAATCTTTTTTATTTTATAATTAAAATTACATCGATCAAGATAAAGCTTAGTCTTTTAATGGCACACTGGATCAACTTATAATATACGCGATAAGTTACAACTCTTCACTGCATTTTAACAACAATGCAAGTAGACTCTTGAGAAAGCAATCACTTAAGTCACATTTTCTTCACAGATGATTTCGCGGAATGGACTGTCGCAAGAACTTTTTGCTGTTCAAATTACATTTCAATAATGACACGACTATGTCCATACTAATTACCATCGTACACAAGCAACAGAATAATATCGAGCAAGAGGAGGCTCCGTCGAGCTTCGTTCAAAACATTTAACGGCCGCTCTAGCATCGTTTTTACGATCGATCGGTTGTCCGTGCTCGTTCACTGATTAAATGACATCGCGTTTGTTATTTCGAGTGTGTGCGGCTTAAGTTAGCGTATGCTACGATTCGATACGGTCGAATTGTTCAGATACGTGCCGTTGGCAAGCGGTCGCGATATGCACTAAGCGCTACGTGCGCCCGGCGGCACGCCCCACCCGTCCACGCCGCATGACTATCAAGCCGCCGACCAACGCCACAGCCATTCAAATAAACTTTATTCGCTCCCCGCGCATATGCATGGCCGCCTGATGGATAGTTACAAGGCAATAACCCCTTTCAGGAGCCCCCTCGGTCTGGACGCGTCCAACAATTAAATGAAGAGTGCGTATGGGTCGGTACGTTGTTCGCCAGATGCGTATTCGAGTGTTGCTCAGACCCGCTTTGGGAGAAACGGGAATTATGTAAGCAATGAATGTATCAGATATCAGCGGCGGCTTGTATTTAATTGGTTACGCGGTGCGAACTGAGCCGGTAAATCTGTTATTTGTTTGGGGCACGTTATGCGATCGACAATTTGAATATTGAAAGTAATTGGAAACTCCATCACAACATTCATGGAACGCAAAAAGTGTCGGAGATAAGAAATGGGGTTATTTAATCCGCCATCGAAATTGGAGTCTTTGTTCACGAGACCGTGTGAAATGCAAGCTCGTATTGAATACCTTTATGCTGCGCGCGTTATTGACGGATAGCAGCTGATTGGGCAACTTGTAATTAAATCTGTCAAAGCTATCGAAATGGTTCGCGAATTAATTTTACTTTATCGATATATTTAGTAAATTGAACACAGGCGAGTGAGGCGACACGCATTACAGATCGAAAATCATCCATTGGAAAACATGGAAAATCTGTTCTCTTGCCGTGAAAAATTGAAGACAATTAGACCAGATTCATTATCATGGAGTTCACTTTAGTTGTGCTTTATATATACGATTATTCCATAGTTTGACTATTTTAATATTTAACAATAAAACTAAAATAAATAAAACTACGTGATTACCTGTGTTATACACAATACAAATGATATAATCGTCCATGAGTGTTTATTTCCATTTCATAACTAATGGAGCTGGCGGTTCACCCGATATTAAGTGATAACTGCCGCCCATTGACATTTGCAACATCCAATAAATGCATTGCGACCACTTAATAAAGTAGGCCCCGGCAACCTAGCTCACCAGACGAAACACGGAAGTATAACATTTTCATTTTACGGCGGTCTTCTGTGAGGTCGTGGTACTTAACCGGACGGACCTAACCCATTCATGCAACAGCGAAGACTATTGCGTTACCCTACCACAGTGAAAACGTTAATGAAACGATAATTTGCAACAATTTATATAACTGATTTTCTTCTCTCTAAATTCCGTTTAATTTAATTCATTTGACAAAGCCATGAATTGAAATGTTTTTTCGAATAATAAAATAATATGGTTAAATATACTGCACCACAACGTAGCTTTCACTCACGCAATGTTTTACCTTGCAGAAAATAGTGAAATAATAACTAATTATTTTGTAACGATAATTTACTTAATAATGGAGGCCAAAAGACGTCATGTCGTCATAGTGAAACCCTAAACAGTTTGTTTCAAATTAATTTAATTAACGGATAATGAGAACAGGAGGGAGATGAAGTTGAAAGATTAAGGGCAATCTAATAAATGACTGATTCTATAGTAAAAGATTTAAAAATCGATGGTGGTAAAATTTTAGTAAAGTTCAGTATAGACGAAAGAGAGGCGACTAAAAATTAATTAATTATCCATACGCTAATTATACAAACTGCGATTTTTTTTATAAAAATGAGTCACATTACGACAAAACAATAAAATTTGCATCATTGATAAAACATTAAAATACGCGTGAATTAGGAAACTTCTCTCCTAAAGAACCAAAAAAGCAGATGTCAATTTTTATGTAAATTCCGATATGAGAACGACGCGGGCAAAATCGCGGATAGGGTCTAGTATTTAATAAATAATAAAATAAAGCATTCAGGAGTCGAAAGCTTCTCAGCAGTTCTGATTTATGACGTCGCGTTTGTAAGCATTTTATGTTAGCTGAGCACGCGGGGTAGGAGTTTAATTTCGATATTCCCCTTAGTCATGCATAACAGGATTAGTGGGTTGAGGCTAGGGGAGCAACCATCGATCGATGTGGATGGTTTGGATAATCCACGGAGAAAAGTAGAACACCGTATAAGAGGGTCAAAATATTGAATATCAATGGGTAAGACGTGCGTTATGGAATTCAGTTTTTAGGGGAAGATTCTTTTTTTAGTTTAATTTTGCTGGTTGGATTCTAGCTGTAAATGCTGTACTAAACACTCAAATGTATTAATCAAAGTTAAAAATTTACGTTACGCAGTAGAGATGGCTACAACGATAGTACAAAGAAGTAATCAGATACTTCTTACAATTTAATTATGGCTACAAGTTTTTAAACACATAAGAAACCATTAAAAAACAAATCATATTTTAGCTTTTCGTTATTATAAACTCATATTTTATCCAAAGTCTATGCCGCCTTATATGTTCAGGAGGCGATTTACTATTCCACATGCATATTCTGCGTACAGATGATTCGTAAAATAGGTCTGTTATTAAATACTATCAAGATCTTTTTTATAACCCCTCGCCATATGGCATAGTTTGCGACCTAAAAACTAAGTGACTCACAGATATATTTTCCAATTATATAATTAACATATCCCTCCTGCTGGGTAATTGTACCATCTTGGATTTTTAATTGCAAATAAGGTGATTCGCATGTGATATTTATTTATATCCCTTTAGTACAGTAAAAGCGTTATGTTTGAACATATATGGCCATTTATATATTTTCTCGTAACACTAGGCTACCGTTTAGAGATATGTTTAGGCACTTTTATATGCGTTTTATTTTAGTTAAACAAATATTTTGGTTTCAGTAGGCATAAATATTAGTTCATGATCCTTGCTCTACTAACTCTAGTGTAAGTACTATAATAACGTTGCTCGGTGGTAAAAGACCGGATTTATTTACAACGTCAAGTACGATGTTTTATTAAATAAGTATTTCCTTTATGATGTCCCATTGAAAACCTTTAATCCAATTGAACTACAACGACAACAGTTAAGAAGATTAGTTTTGTGATATCGACCAGTATGATCAATGCTGACGTAAAGAATTAATCTGCTTATATATGTTGCATTAAAATAGTAACCATCTGAATGAAATGATTATTATAAACATATTCAATAATAATTCTGATAATTCTCTTGTAACCGTAATTGGAATATACTACTCGCAAAAAGCTAAATTTGTTTTTTATTGATAAATTTTTAAAAGATAATAAAAGCTGGTAATGAAATGGAAATTTACGATCTTGACAATCATGAAGCGATTTTTTGTTGTTTTAAGTACGCAGTCTTTCGACTTTAGCTAAAATTCATCACTATTGTCAGTATTTTTATGGATTTACATGGTATAAAAACGGCACAGTGCAACATGATGATGTTATGTGCCAAGTCCGCAATGGAAAACGTACAAAGTGCGTTATTGCATATTAATGACTTAATCTTGCTAGGTAACAATTGATTAAATGATTAACCGCGTGAGGCAATAGAATTTCCGAAGCGTGACCCCTACTACCACTGCGAGAGATAGAGCTAAAGGAGTTCTATTGTATTTGTATTTGGTGTGGAAGGCGTTGGGTAGAAGTCCCAAGGACCACTATGATCTAGAAAGATCTATCAAAAATAAAGACGTCTGAGATCTTTCCTTCGAAATTGCCCCCTTAGGATAATATTAACCTGTGTTGTAAGGTTGTTTTACATACATCTCGTGGAGATACAGGTGTTACATTATCATGTGTGGTGCACATGCATACGGTTCGGTTCTGAACCATTAATAGTTCGACAACCAAATGCTGAAATAACATCGCACCGCCTGTTGGAACGCGCAAACAAAAGCCTCGTTCAAATCTAGAATGAGAACTTATATGTAGTCAAAAAAAGTAATAAACAACTCCATTTTTATTACAAAAAACACCACATGGGCCACGTGGGAGCTAAACCAAAACCAATTAAAAATTATATTTCTCAATATGGTTTATATATCAATTATGGTTCATAAATGATGCAGGTCACAAACAATAAAAAAAGCGTTTAAAAACTAGAAAAAAAGAAAGGTTATTACGAAGTAAAATTTTTTTAAAGTATATTCTTACTTCGTTTATAATAATTTTAGGATCGCATATAAAACATATAATGACAACCGCATCATTTGAAGCTTAACTAGGAAAGATGCAACTGAAGGAATAATAATTTTTTTTTTTACTATGGGGTTCACATCTCTACCATCGACTGATGTGACTCTCACACGGGTTTCTGTGGAATAACAGCGCTGGTAATAATGGGGTCATCAGCAATATGCTAAGCAGATGACGCTTTCGACTCAGCATTGCAACGATTTTGCTGTTCTTGTAATCTAATTTTAGATGTTTTTTTTTTTGCTTTTCTCGTGTGTTGTATATGATTGCCTTTTTCTAGAATATATGCGGTGATTGAATGGCTATCTTTATAACTTTAACTGAGCAATAATGAATTGTACCCTGTATCACTATTGAATAGACTTCTGTAATAGAAATCATATACGAAAACATGTTTCGATGATAAAGTTCAACATAAGAAGAGCTATGGAGATCGCGGTTTACAAACGCATATTTAATATCAGTTTTACCAAGGGAACTCGCACATAGCATGGGCTGAGTGCGATAAGAAAGAAGAAACGGAAAGTCGAGAAGGCGTGCGAAAGCTCGCATCGCATTGTTTGCAGATGAACGATGTTCGCTAAAAGATACATCGAATTACGCGCCAATTAAGCCATGTTACTTAACTCTAGCGTTCCTACATGTGTACAAATTAAATAGTTAATTGCTGTGGGAGTGGAGCGCGACTGTTTAATGGACCGCATCGGCTGAGCGGAGTTTTGGAATTGTTTTTTTTTCTCAGTTTCAACGGGTACGATGCACTTGATAAGTGATGCAATTGGTTTATGTTAAACTCTCGTTATATTCATGAGCGGCAAACGGAATAATAACTTGTAACCCTTTAAACTTTCGTAATTTGGAAAATAATTGAAATTGATTCTTTGCATTAATTTCCGACGTTTCTAACATTATAACATTGACAAATTAGAAATAATGAAAAAAAATTTAAAAGAGTTTTCTTATATATTAATATTTTAAAACGGCCTTTATCTTGGCCTAAGGTTGTCTGGAAGGGATCGGTCTTTAGCAATAAGACTGCCTTATTGTACCTAACTTTTTAAGTGTTATTTAATATTACTTTTTATTAAACTGTTTGTGGTGTACAATAAAGTATATATTAAAAAAAGTGTGTGTGTACTTATGTATCACGCGTTAGAAGTTATACTTCTTTGGCGTATCAAGATAAAAATCTTTTCAAAAATGTTATCTTTCGCCTTATTCTACGTTTGGAGAAAAAACGACGCTAATAATAGAAAAAAGGTATTTAACACATTGAAAGTTTTATTATAACGCATTATCTAATTTAAATATCACAAAATAAATATCGTGAATACAGTTGTCAGTTCTCACGCAAACATACGTAGAGCTAGCTAACTTGAGTGTGTCGATTTTTCGTGACATTTTCCCTAACGCGCCAAAAGAAATATAATTTCAATAGTAATAAACATTTTACGGACGTGCAATAGTCAACTTTTTATTTAGGTTTTGCTATTTTGAGTTCCGGTCTTATCCATTCACGTTTTTGAAGCTCTTTTAAAAATGTACCAAAACATAAACGAAGGAACAACGCTATCGTTGCCTAAATACATATGTTTATGCGTTGATACAGATAAGATGGTATTTAGGCAAGTACTTAAATTCCTAACAACTCTCGTTAACCGTACATTTGGCCTTTTTTAATCGTATTATTTCGCAGTCCTTAAACACTATCTGTTGTTTATTCAAAACAGTTGCACATTTTGAATTGTAAATGAATGCCAGCGCTGGAGTTGAGTATTTCGATATAGTATAGTGTCTCCCGATATCCTTGGCATAGTTAAGTTGCTCCCACGCGCGGCCACCTACCGTTTGTTTGTACGAATTGTTTATTAGAACGCCATAAATGTATCATGAGCACGTTTGCAACGACACAATTACGTTCGATGTACCATACAGACAGACCGCGTGATTTCTCAGAAACACCGAAGCCGGAAGCTTTGGCCCTCTGTCCGTGTTGCATTTGTATGCAGTTGCCTTAGCGATTATTTGCGAGGAATGGAAACAGGCTCGTCCGAACGCGACTGCACTGGACAATTGTCTACAATCGAAAGGTTGCCCACGTTGCGTTGACATAGCCCTTTTGTGAACTCCCTTTACGAACGAGATACTTTCTAAACGCATATACCGCTATAGACACATATGACTTAGGTCTCACGCATTAGTTTTTTTTTTTTTTGGGTTAAAAGTTGGCAAACGGGGCGGATCGCCTGATGTTAAGTGATTACTGCTTACACCTGATATCCTGTAGATTTTTTGGGAACAATAAACAACAAAAAAGTGGGCTCCGTTTACCTCACTCACCAGACGAAACGAGAAATAATAACACTTCCACGACACGCCGTGACGCCGTGGTACTTTCCTGGAAGAGTCTACCCACAAGTGAAACAGTAAAAGCTGCTGCACGGAGGTGCATAATTACTGATATAAGAATGCATCAAAATATTATGTGACGATCTTTTGTTTAACAAGATAACAACAACGATAAGTTCTTCACGTGAGCGTTTATGCAACACTTCGTAACTGCTACTCAACTGAGCGAAAACGATATAAGACTGTTAACAAACAGAAAACAAAAGAATTATGTATTTTTCTGCGGCGGCGGTTTCCACGGCTAGCTATAATAAAAAGTACTACGGGTAATAAATAAATTTGTATAGCAAATACAATGGATATATTACTATTCTAGATAGTAGATGTTGTAGATACATGTACACGATATCACTACATATAATTTTAGATCTGACATAATATCCAAACGCAATCCTCCTTATAATATTCAATGCACGTCCAAACAACGACACTGTTTGGATTATAAATCCAAATTAGCCATTTATCATAAAGAGGCACGCATCTGACAGGAAGTTGGCCGCGGCTGACGGAACGTTTCCGGCCACCATTGCTGTCGTCCTGCGATATCTAATGGAGCGGCACATCGTATTGTTTAAAGCCCTTTCCTTTGGTGATATCATAACATGTAATATAATGGGGTCATTGGACATTGGAGGTATTAAATTCAACGTGGCGTATTCGATTTGACATTGTCGATTTTTAAATATCGAGTGTTCTGATCAATTCTCGGAAGAATGAGTAATTATGTGATTGAAATTATTATTTTTTTTTTTTCATTTCAAGGTTTAATCTATTTATTTTGTAATCTGCTTAGCAACAAGGACGTGAAAAAAATGGAAACAAATAAAAATTTCAATACCACCCGGTTTCTGAAACACTGATCATCGTAGAAGTTAACTAATCGGCAGTCAATGGCTCTTCGAATGTCATTTAAGTTAAATTCTCTGAATTGTTCAGAATTATCTTCTTAATGATCAGAATTGATCATTCAAAGAGTTTAACCAGCCATTAGTCGAAAGAGTAGATGACGCATGACATATTGGATATTACCAATTAAGTCTTGTCTGTATTTCATTGCGTTTCAATATAGTTTGTATATGATTTTAAATTGTAAAATTTTATAGATAAATTAATAGAGAACCTGCGTCTTCTGGTTTCGTGCCCTGAGGCTATAACAACTAAGCTACAACTACAAACTAGCTTTTACGGTGGTAGGGCCACGCAGCAGCCTCCGCTGTTGCACGAATGGGCAGGCCCGTCCGGGTAAGTACCACGACCTCACGGAAGACCAGCGTAAAGTGGAAGTATGACAAATACTTTCGCGTTTCGTCTGGTGAGTGAGGTAGCCGGAGCCAATTTTCAAAAGGTTGTCAACACATCTGTAACCCTCGGGTGTAGCAGATGTCCATGGGCGGCGGTATTCACTTACCATCAGGTGAACCGTCTGCTCGTTTGGCAACTTTTCACATAAAAAAAAAAAAAAAAAAAAAAAAAAAAAAAAAAACGGCCGATCTATCTACGTTCGCTTTATTGCATTTTTAGCAATGCGTGGCGCCGTCTAGTGTGCATCCATGTTTACAATTTGCCTAAACTAATATTTCAGCAAAATGTAAACAAACAATGGCATTATTTGCTTTGAGCTCACTCGACACGTTAAGAAAGATTCATTGAAAAGTTTATTTTCGTAGTTGGCTGAGCCATAGGCCGACCTTGTGTGTAGCGTGTGTAAATAGATGTTGCATTACGAAAATAAACTAAGAATTGTGCGTGCAATGGAATCTAATGAAACAATAAATTACTTAAAATAGCTTCTGCACCTTAATTCACTTAGTGTAGAAATGTTTTTTTTATCATCAAGTAATTGAGAGAATTTCAAATTAACGTAAAAATGATTAATTTTGTGGACCATCAGCTCGTTTGCCACCTTCTCACATAGAAAAACGTGTTTATACGACAAAAAATGGAAGTAAAGTGAAATACGGATATCGTGGGCTAGCAGCTAGCTATAAATTTAAACAAAAAGGCTATTTAGTGTGGCATTTACAGAATAAGCATTAAGTTTATAATAGAAAGAAAAAAATATTCTTACCTATCTGAATGCCATCTAATAAATGTACCTCTGAAGCATTTTAATGAAAATAGCGGAAAGAATTATGAACGCTAATTACCTTCACAAGACACTCGAACTGTGCTGTTAACTGAAAACACCTTGAAATAATTTGTCTTTGATAGAGACCTAATGAGTTGATTGATAAACGTGCGTGAATATCCGAACGGCAGAAGTAAAAATTACGTAGGTGCATTTTGGGGAAATATTTAAGTTGACTTTCGATCATTAAAGTTTAAAATTGAAGCTACTAATCTGCTCCAATTTTACTAATTTAGTTTCAATTGATTAATTAAGTTGAAATCCGAACAGTGTTTTACAGACATATTTGCAGAGCGGATCTCTATTGAATTCCGATTGTCTATTCTCGGGGGATTCCCGGGGACGAGATACTCGTACTGTCTGAATAGAGTTCCTGAACGACAATAAAATAGGGAATGTGAATAGGGAATTAGCTATTTTGAAGAACATAGGTCGGAGTTACAAGTTTCCAACTAACCTCTTTACTACCCTAATAATATTTAACGTTGGTGGTGATTTAACGAACTCAAGAAACAGCAATATGTATAATACAAACGATATCTATGTATTAAGTTTTGTTTTAACTGAGAATATTAACTTCAAATGTCGCGACTCTGTGTTAAAATGCTTTGTGAAAACATTTATTCTAAGTAGTCATAAATGATTTTTCAGAAAATATAGTCACACTTTACATTGAGTCAGCGCTATTGAGTAATTCCAGTATGAAGTATGAATTCCAGAAGAATTACGCTTCTTTCGAGGAAATTTTAAATGCGATGTTAGTAACTTTTTTTGTAGTTATTGAACGGTTTTCTATATCATCAACTAACACATATACGTGCGTAAAGTACGTCGCTGTTTTTTCATTATTCGAATTAAGGATGAAACCTTGTTGTGTTAAAACGTATATCGGTGAGTATAATTTTTAAATTAGGTATTTGGTTATCAAAATCAAAAAGTTTAAATATTTCTTTAAATGATTTAGTTACAGAAATATTTAAACTTTTTGATTTTGACAAATATAAACACAAAAACAAGTGGTTGTATTTCGTATTTAGATAACATAATGAATAAACTTATTTTTCTGTGTGAACATGAGCATTGTTGATAAATGTAGATTAATCTTCTAAGGTTACTTTCTGAAATTCTTGCAAAGTAAAGATAGCATGATTGCAAAGAAATGTAATATATTATCGTGTCCTCCTGTGGTATCCACATAGATGTTGTGATACACAACCAATTCCCAAAAGTCAAATGATTTGACCCTTTTCAATCACGGGTTTCGCGCCATCTACTGACTAATTATAGAAGCAATAAAATACCAACCTTATAATTTAGGCCTTGAACGTCTTCCTCTAGCGAGACATCAGAGTACATATCGTCCGCAGGTTCCCCGCCCGAGCCGCAGCCCGACGAGTTGAAAGACGACGACCGGTACAATTGGCTGAAACAAAAAATTACGACGTGATAATTAATGTAGTATGTATATGTACAAGTAGGATTACATTTATGAACAAGTAGTAGTTTATCTGTTATAAGATTATATTACGATAGTGCTGTCATCTATTGGCAATTTAGGACAACGTTAGTTTTATTGAAGCGCCATCTGTTAATAGGAAAAAACTACAGATGTAATATTTCACTTAGTTTCAGCGTTTTCTCGCAGAGGGCGCTCAAACATATCATCAAGCATTTTTTATCGGTTTTATAAAAACATAAGCGATTCATTGAACAAAATTATTGACAGTATTAAATACTAACTAACATTAACTAATATTTTCTACATATTTTAATACTAACTAACATGTTAACTAAAAATTATAGGCCACGCAGTATGGTGCCAAGAATACTAGCTGCATTTATTGCTAAATATATGCTTGATTAAATGATTACAAGCGAAAAAGTGTACCGTACCTGGCCAAAACATTTGATCCAATTTGCCGCTTCCCCGAGCTGAAACAAAATGATATAGACGATTAGTAATGAAGTAATAAGATCTCTGGACGTGTGTTATTTATTTATTTTAACAAAGAAAGTAAGTCGATTCTCGTTATAGCTCAGCCCCCATTGGTTTTTACGTTTCCGTATATTTTAATATTTGTCTACTATTAAAAATAGAGATATCTGTTAGCGGCGAATTCACAGATATCGGTTTGCAGTAAGATTCTCCTCGTTGCAGTGTTCAGTGCAGAAACGGGAAACTGCTGCACGCCACTGCGTTTCGCGTTTTTCCAATTTCTTACGAACATATATATGACTTTCTGTCATTGGTATAACAATTGTAATCATGATTATGTTTAATATTTGTAATGACAAAAAAAACGTCCCTTCAATGCTGAACTCAATACTGATATAGTACCTACATAAACATATAACTAAGGCACGAATAATTCGCGCACTAAACGAGGGCAGAGAAAGAATGTACCGATGGCCTATGCGAAGTGCGAGACGCAATGGCGACGAATAGGCTTTATTTAAAACATGACTTAAAAGGCATACGTCCGGCGTTCGCCGCACTCGGTGTTTTCTACGAGAAAGAAGGAAATAAGGTGTAGGTAATGGCCGCGCCGACAATTAGTACATTTTATTGCTCGAGGCTCATGCGTAACCCGGTTGTTATGTAATTGTGACAATAGACACATTGTCTGAAAGCGCTGTTAAAATTTAAATGAGAGAAAAGTTAAAACAACGCTTACTGCAACTGCTTAACGAAAGCAAAAAACGCGGCGGGTACAAAACTAGTCGGTACCAAAAAAGTCACCGTCATAAATTCCTTTCTTATTTTTTAACGTATGGGTAAATAAAATTGAACGTAATACTCATCTTCCGTAAGCGGCTAGCCCTGTTCTAATAGGCTTTTTTTAAATAATATGTGACGGATTTATGCATTAGATCAGAGAATATGACATTTAATATATAAACAGTATATAAAGCATTAAGCATTGAGTTCATTTTAAATTTCTAACGTTACGCCTAATCACTTATTCTTAACACACGCCTACTTAGTCGTTCGACTTAGTAAGTAGACCAAGCCTTGTGATAATACGATTGGCATTAAAGAGAATACATAATTTAATATTGATTTTATTTTTTTATGAAATCCGTTAGAAAAAAATATGGGTTAAATAAAATTAAAGTTGCGGAGTCTTGAGTTGGCCTAATGGCTAACATCTAAGTGGATAAGATGTGATCTTACTTTACCATAAATACAAAATACATCTTTGTTTTTAAAGTTGTTTAATAATTTTAAACGTTGTCAACGCATCTGAAACCCGTCAGGTGTTGTAGATGTCCATGGACGGCGGTAATCTTTGAATCAGGCGAACCGCCAGCGCACTTTGCAACATGCAACTGTGGTAGGGCTAAGCAACATTTCTCGCTGTTGCACGAATGGGCAGGTCCGTCCGGGTAAGTACCACGACCACCGCCGGAGACAGACAGACCGCCTTGAAGTGTAAATGTTATACTTCTGCGTTTCCTCGGGTGAATGAGGATTCCGGTGTCCGATTTATTAAAAGGTTAAAGGGGTGTTGCCAATGTTAATGGGCGGCGGTTATCACCTAACATCAAGTGAACCGCTAGCCCGTTTGACTCCTGGACATTTTACATAAAAAACCATATAGGCGAAACGCAAACCTACGCGAAAACCGAAGCGAAAGGCCGTGGTTCATCTCCGGACGAGCCTGCTTATTCCTTTAACAGAAGCTACCGCGTGGCCCTACCACAGATAAAATAATAATAACCCTTTCTATTAAAGTACAGGAAAATACTTTACTACGCAAATGAGCCAATTCAATGTTATTTAAATGCGAAGGTTTCAGATTATACACATGAAATTTACAACATTACACAAATTTTAAGAGATTTTACGAAAGAAACTGCGCGCTTGAAACGGTCTGAAACGCCAACCATAAGAATTTAATCTTATTTATTGCTCATAAACGTAACGTGCGATCCTTATCTTTACGTCGGGACCACTTGCGTGCGTCTTTGATACTTGACAATAAGAGTTGGCAAAAGATTGATTCGAAAGGAATTCAGCTCAAACTTTCTAATACAAACTATTAACTAGTGCGAGCTTGCGACTATGATAGCATCAAGTCCATTCCTACTACACCCCATTTTGAAAGAGAATAATTTTTTATAGCAATAAAATAACGTATTTATAATATTAAATAAGTACTGTTATTCGAAATGTCACCGACACAGGGTATATTTCTATAAAAACTAAAAGACCTAATATGTGAAAACATATGTAATTTTCTCAATCATTTACTTATTTTATTTGTGCGAAATAATTATTAATAAGTGCGAAAGACTTAATAAACAAATTCATTTCCCTTCAAAATCTGTCATGATAAAAACTGTTGCATTTTATCGAACAGGAATATTTAATCGTGTTGACGGCTCATATGTTGGTGTATTAGAGTTGAAAATGGACTGTATGTAGTGCACGGGATTATTTGAATAAAAAAGACGTGTTGCAGCTTGCTAGTTTATTGCGCGACTGACTCACTCAAGTACACACCAATATGATAGTTAACTACACGACAAAAAAAAATTATTTTAGCGTCAACATACCGCCCACCAAAAGGACTTAAGGTCCTTTTCCAAACACTTTAAATTTGTATAAACATCACAAAAATACATTAAGTACTAAGTATTAATTACAAACGTAATGATTTAAACCTCAATATACATAAAGTATGTTATAAGACAATGATTTAAATAAACAATTATACAAAATAATATGAAGGTAAGCGAAGTGTATGTAAAACTAAAGTTAGATTTTAAAAAACAAATTGCAGGTAGGCGACACTATTCAATATGTTTGAAGCGTAAACAACATTATGATCAGTTAGACTACTTAAACTGTGAACATTTTCTAAAGTTAAATTTTTTATAAAGCTTTTTGTTAAATTTATAATTTATTTACAATTTATGGGTAAAGCACATAATTTAGTTATAGTTCTCTTTGTTATCAAGCTGCCACTTTTTACACTATAAACCCGGGTTATATTGTCTGAGCCGGGATGTTTGCCGACGATTCGTCCCAGGGACCATTTTCCCGGTGGTAAGTTATCTGTTTTAATCAAAACAACATCACCAATCTGGAACTCCTCCTCTCTTTTAAGCCACTTGTTTCGCTGCTGTAATTTCGACAGGTATTCGTCTTGCCACCGTCGCCAAAAGTCGTTGAGGAGTTTTTGTGTATGCTGCCAGCGTGACAAGTTAGACGCTTTTATGTCTTTCATGCTAGGTGATGGAACGATGATTGGTGCTTCTCCTATCAGGAAATGACCCGGGGTAAGTGGATTCAAATCTCCGGGGTCTGTATCATCCAGTGGACATAGTGGCCGAGAATTCAAGCAGGCCTCAATTTGGCAAAGTATCGTTGTCATTTCTTCATATGTCAGGTTAGTACTTAAAATTCTTTTCAGATGATATTTGATCGACTTCACGCCGGCTTCCCATAATCCACCGAAATTAGGACTATAGGCAGGTATAAAATGCCACTGTGTTCCTTCCGTCACTAAAGTTTCTGCTATATCTTCCTTAAACTGTAGCTTAGCATCATTTAAAGCATCCCGCAATTCTTTATCCGCGCCAATGAAGTTCCTTCCCTGATCACTCCACAGGTGACTGCATTTGCCTCTGCGTGCCACAAACCGCCTAAAGGCTCCAATAAAGGCAGCTGACGTTAATTCTCCGACTAATTCAATATGTATCGCTTTAGTTGACAAGCAAATAAAAATTGCAATATACGCTTTTTGCGTTTTGTTTCCTCTGCCCTTGGACATCAAAATTTGGATCGGCCCCGCAAAATCCACACCACTTTTTAGGAACGGTCTGGAAGGAGTGACTCTCTCTGCTGGTAAGTCACCCATTATTTGAGTTCTGGTTGTAGCATTAAGTTTAGCACATATGAAACACTTATGGATGTATCTCTTTACCATAGATTTAGCCTTTAATATCCAATAAGTATAGCGTAGGTAACACATCATCAATTGACTTCCACCGTGAAGGGTTTTCTTGTGAGCGTCAGCAATAATTAAAGGTGTCAACGCGTTTTTATCACCCAAAATTATTGGATTCTTTCTATTCTCAGGTAAGTTAGTATGTCTGAGCCGACCGCCCACCCTGAGGATGTTATGTTCGTCTAGGAAAGAGTTGAGGAATCGAATTTTGCTTATTTTCCTTACATGTTTATGATCTTTTAATCTTTGAATTTCATTTCATCTTTATATTCTTCTTCTTGTACCTTTCTCACACAAATCATCAGTGAATCGTTAATTTCTTGTGTAGTGACCGTATCATCTATTTTGCTTAAATTCCTTTTATGGTTGAGTAACCTTCGACAGTAAGTAATCGCTTTTAAAAGTTCGGTTAAATTGGTAAATAATTCAAATTGTGTAGTTATAGACTTTTCTTGTTCTTCGGTGTTAAGGTAAGTATTTATTTTTATTTTTCTTTTTTCTAATTCTGTTGATATTATATCTTGTTTATTAATCTTAATTTCTTTTTCAGATAACCAGCTGGGACCCTTCCACCACAAGTCACAATGCTGCAGGTCGGAGAGCAACAACCCTCGTGATGCGATGTCAGCAGGATTATCATTTGACAGGACATGATACCAATGTTTGTTATTTAGGTTCTCCACAATTTCTACGACGCGGTTTGCGACGAAGGACTTCCAACGATTGGGTTCACCACACAACCATGCGATGACAATAGAAGAATCTGTCCAAGCAAACATATCCTTTGTTGGTATTCTCATGGCTTGACCAATTTGTTTCATGACTTTTGATAACAACAGTGCACCACACAACTCGAGGCGAGGTAAGGAAATTGTTTTTAATGGTGCTACTCTAGTTCTGGCAGCTACCATTCTTGTTTCAATCTTGTTATCTGTATTTTCGGTTCTTATATAAACTACGGCAGCGTACGCTTTC